GAACTCCAGTTTATGTGACAGAGCAAGACTCTGTCTCAAAAAGAGAGAGAGAGAAAGAACAAGAGAGAAATAAAGAAGGGAGGGAGGCAGGCAGGCAGCAAGGAAGGAAGGAAAGAAGGAAGGAAGGAAGGAAAGAAGGAAAATAAATCCTGGGGCTGGGTACAGTGGCTCATGCCTGTAATCCCAGCACTTTGGGAGGCAGAGGCGGGTGGATCACCTGAGGTCAGAAGTTCAAGACCAGCCTGACCAACATGGTGAAACCCCCGTCTCTACTAAAAACACAAAACTTAGCTGGGCATAATGGCGGGCGCCTGTAGTCCCACCTACTCAGGACGCAGAGGCAGGAGAATTGCTTGAACCCAGGAGGCAGAGGTTGCGGTAAGGCAAGATCACACCGCTGCACTCCAGCCTGGGCGACAGAGAAAGACTCCGTCTCAAAATAAATAAATAAATAAAATAAAATAAAAAAGAAATCCTGGAGGATTTGTTCCCGGGACCCAGTATTGTGGCTGCTTGCCCCAGACAAGAAGCCAGAAGAGCCGCTCCCCCTAGAGAGGCTAGGACAGAGGATTCCTTGCCAGGGCCCTGAGGGTGCAGAGAGAGGTCTGTCCTGATGCCTCTGTCACGCCTTCTCACTCCACCCCCACCCGGCCCAGGCATCCTGGGAGTCAGAGGAAGTTGCTGACCTGTCCCCTGGGGGAATAATTGTATTAGTGATAAAGTGGCCTCTGGCAGCTTAGTCAGCAGATTCAGGGCTTTGGGCTGAGTAATCCTTTGGCGTCTGCCCCAGCAGCTGGTGATCACAGATCGGGGAGACCCCCCCAGCCCCCAGGCCCTGCTGGGCTTTGGTTTCCTCTCCCCCAGCACAGTGCACAGGGCACGGCTCTGGCTGGCCTGACCTGCCAAAGAACCCAGGGCCCGCCTCGAGGATTTCGGCTGGCATCCACATGATGGAGTGACAGAATACAGTCAAAATAAACAGCGTAAAAACGGGCAGGTCGAACACTGCAGGGGGCTTTCATTTGGATGGGATTAGGTTTCTTGTGTGGCTTTGCTTGTTTTGTTTTTGCCTTTTTAGGTAATACATAGCCACTATAGAATATAGGGAAATACAGACAAGTTTGAAAACAGATTCTCTGTCCATTAAGTGCCTTGGGATCCTCATCCCCAGCTAACCTGAAACTCTAAGCCTGTTCCCTGGAATCTTCCATCTGGATGGAGGAGAGAAAGTTGACCTGGAGTGAGGTTCAACATAAGGACAAGATCGGCACCCGAACAAGCTCTCCCTCAGAGAGCACAGGCGGCCTGAGGAGTCAGGGCAGGCAGCCTGGAGGAGGTGAGCCCTGGACTGGCCTTCAGGGATGGGAAGGGTCTGGGCAGATGGAGCAGGAGGGGCAAAGCCAGCCCAGCTCAGCGGCCACCCCTGTACCTGCTGCCCCTGAGAGAAGGAAGCGCTCTCCTCCAACAGCCCTGCCCCTGCCTCCTCCCTTCCGTCTACCCTTTCCCCTTCAGTTCACCTCCTTCAATCCCACCACAACTACCCAACGGGACACCATCCTACCCATTCCAGAGCGCATGAAACTGAGAGGCAGAATAACTTCCCCAAGCCCACACAGCCAGGCTCTGAGAGGAGGGGTGCTGGCCCCAGCCTGCCCTTAAGCCCTGGCTCTCTGCAGGCAGGAGCAGCCCCTCCTCTCCTGCCGGCTGCTGCCCCCTCAAGCCTGCAGGTGTCTCTCCAGAGAAGCTGGGTATGGGGCAGGGTTCGAGGTACACCCACCTCACCTCTCTTTCTGGCTCTTTCTCCTCTGTAGCTCTCATGTTAAAAGGAACCGCATTCCTGAAATATTTTTCTTTAAATATCTCAATTTGTGAGAGAAAAGAAATCTTTCCTTAATGTTACCCCCCCTGCCACCCCTCAGCCCCGTCTCCTTCCCTCATAGCCACGCTCCCTCCCCACCACCAGGTCTCCTGAATCATGTTCCCTCCCAGGGCACCAGCTCCTCCTGCTGCTGAAACTCAAGGAGGCGGCTGCCCCTCCTGGGAGGGTGTCCTGGGGCAAAGCCGAGTGTGGTGCCAGGCCCAGTCCGAAATCCTCATGTGCATCCCCAGCCTCCTCCACCACTCACTAGCTGTGTGGCCTGAAGCAAATTACTTAACCTCTCTGACTCTGTTTTTCCTCACCCATGAGTTGAGGCTAGTAAGGACAGCTCCTTTACAGGGCTGCTGTGAGGTTTAAAGGATCTGTGTAAGAATTCAGCATGCTTGCTTTCTGCATGACACGGAACACTTGCGTGGTGACGCCACCATTGCTGATTCCTCCCCGTCCCTGGCTCCCGCGACAGCGCAGCGCTGTCCTGAGTTTCCGTGTCTCGTCTCTGATGCACCTTTGTCATCAGCTTGTCCTTGGCTGCTGATAAGACACCAGAGTCTTAGGCCCTTGAGCTCAGCCTTAGGCATTTTCAAACCTGCACGTATTTGCTCCAGGCGGCTCCCCAATCCTGGGGTTACTACCTCTGTGCAGATAAATTGGGGGTGGGTTGGTCTGGGGCATGTGGAGCTGGACTCCACAGTGGAAGTGATGTGAAGTGGCCGTGGAAGCTGTGAGGATGTGTGAGACTGCCCGAGGAGAGAGCGGGAAGGGCTGCTGGGACCAGCCTCTGGGTACATGGAGGCGATGACAAGTTCAAGACAAAGACCCGTGTTGTAGAAGAGATGGGAAAGAGCGGCTTCGGGAAGAAGGCAGTGGCCAGTCCAGTTCATGGAGGATGCCCTCAGCTTCGGTCTTAGGTGGAGCTGGAGACCTTGTCCTGAGGGGCTTTTTGGCAGAGGAGGCAGGGAAGGGTGAGGACGGAGGAGAGGAGGACAGGTGAGAGCACCCGGCCCGGTGGCCTCGATCTTCTGAGGCCCCAGAAAGCGGATTACCCTGCAAAGCCCCTCGAGCTGACTTCCCAAATCCCCAATTGTGCTTCTCTGTCACAGGGAGGGTTAACCCCACTTACATAAGGGCTAGGCCCCGCCCCCTGTCCCCTTAACTCCGTGATCCTTCTAGAAGCTTCACACTCTGCCCGCTTCCCCTTGGGGTCTAAGGCTGGACCAACCCCACCCCAGCTCACCCAGAGGTGAGCTCTGGTCTGCTGGGAACAAGTGGTCCCTTCCAGGACAGCATAGGCTTTCCGCTCTGTCCCGGGCAGAGAGGGGGCCGGCAGGTGAGGCTGGGGGCGGAGGAGCAGGCAAGAAAAGGCTGCTGAGTGTGATCTTCTCAATAACCCCAAGAATAATAACAATATCAACTGCACGCACCATTTATTAGGTTCTCACTGAGTACCAGGCGCTGAAACATGTTTCCTGAACCACTGTCTTTAGTTCCCCAACTATACCCATAGGACAGGTGCTTTCCTCATCCTGTTTTACAGGTGAGGAACTGAAGTTTGGACAGGTTGAGTCACTTTCTCAGGGACCCAAGGCTGGCTGGTGATGGAGAAGGGACTTGAACCTGGGTCTGCCTCTGCTCTCTCCACACTCCCTGCGGGGGCCCGGGGCTTGCTCTAAGACAAGGATGTCAGATAGGTTCCTCCTTCCCTCTCCTTCCCACAGGAGCAGAGGCATCGCTGGGCCTGAGCTGGGAAGGCTGGGCCTGGGGGCAGTGCAGGGGCTGGCGTGGCGAGAGGCCGGCGGAACTGTGAGGCTGAGTTCGGGGGTAAGGGGAGGCCTCCTGAGAGGCCTTGGCCAGGCTTAAGGTGGCTATGTCCTCACCGGCTCTTGTCCTGCAGGCCTGACTCTCCAGGCGGGTGAGGAAAGAGCCTGCCAGCTCCTCTTCTGCTCCCTCACAGGCCTGAAGGAGACCCCCCAGATGGAGCTCCGAGCCTCTTTCCTCCAGGCCAGCCTCAGACCCTACGGGGGACAGTTCTGGGAGCATCCTCTGTGCCAGGCGTCTGGGGACTGCTAGCCTTCTGGTGGGGGCCGGATCCTCAAATTGTGAGCCTGAAGCAGTCTCTTTCCAAGGGACTGGAGTGAGAAACTCGGGGGGCAGAGCCAGAGCTACCTAGGACCCAAGGGGAGTGTCTCAGGCAGGACCCGCACAGGCACAGGCACACACACTGGCCACACACTTGCCTTCGGACGTGTGCCAAGCAGCTCAAAAGAATTTAAAGTCCAGCCAGGCACGGTAGCTCACGCCTGTAATCCCAGCACTTTGGGAGGCTAAGGCAGGCAGATCACTTGAGGTCATGAGTTCGAGACCAGCCTGGCCAACATGGCAAAACCCCATCTCTACTAAAAATACAAAAAACTTAGCCAAACGTGGTGGCAGGCGCCTGTAATCCCATCTACTCGGGAGGCTGAGGCAGGAGAATCGCTTGAACCTGGGAGGCAGAGTTTGCAGTGAGCTGAGACCACGCTACTGCACTCCAGCCTGGGTGGCACAGCGAGACTCTGTATAAAAAAAAAAAAAAAAAGATTTAAAGTCCTTGGGAGAAGTGGAGTCCATACATCTCTTCAAGATGTGGCATGGAATGGTGAACATCTGAGCACATAGGGCAGGAGGGCCCCGGGGCACCTTGGGCAGCCCAGGAACCAGCATGGGGTAGCGGGACTGACCGGCTCCCAGGGCACCTTGGTAATGCTGCAGGTGTGGCCGACTGATCCCCTATGGAGACAGTAAAGATTAAGAGGATCATAAACTGCATCCAGCGGCTGCCCCGGGAGAAATCTCCTCAAGCCAGAGCCTCTGCTGTGAGGGGCTTCGGAACCTTGGGGCAGCTCCTGAGTTCAGACAGAGTTCAGGCAGGAAGACAGAGAGGCGGAGACCCATAGAGAGACACAGAGACAGGGAGAGAGACAAAGGCAGAGGGGGCTGCCACGGAGAGGTAGGAGCAGAGACAGAAGAGAGACGGGCGCAGAGAGACAGAGGTTCATGGACTGAGGTAGAGGCTGGGCCCGGCTCAGCAACCCAGGCCTCCCACAGGCAGGCAGAGGCTGCCCTGGAACCCACCAACACCAGACCAACAGCTCTGATGAGCTCCACCGTGGCTGCAGCTGCGCCTGCAGCTGGGGCTGCCTCCAGGAAGGAGTCTCCAGGCAGGTGGGGCCTGGGGGAGGATCCAACAGGTATGGCTTCTCCTGGAGGTAGGGTCAGGTCTGGGCCCTTGGGGAGCAGGGTAAGGGCCAGAGGTTCCCAGGAACCATGGAAGGAGCCAGAGCAACTCAGACCCAGCCCCACCGGCTGTGGGCAAGGGTGGGGTAGCCTGCGGGCAAACCCAGATTCCTAGAAACACAGTGGGGTGGGGAGCGGGGTTGGGGGCGGGCAGGCTGCAGAGCCAGGACAGGACAGCCCAGCCGATGGGGAAGGAAAGAACAGAGAAGCGCCCTTAGGGCTTAACAGCCCAGAGGTCCCTAGTGGTGGTGACAAGAATGTTTCTGTGGGAGGACGCAGCCTGAAGCCACCCACAGAGAAGGGACGGGAGCTGGGGAAGTGGAGCCAGGGCTGGGACTCTTGCTGAAAATTCCACTCAGGGAGGAGAGAGGGCAGGGAATGGGGCTGGGGACTGGGGTGTGGATGCACAATGAGGGAGACACTTCTCCGGATGGAAGAGTCACGCGTGGGTTCGTTGAAATGCGGGTGGACGGGGCCTGAGGACTGGGAAAACGACCTGAGGGACGGAGGGGAGCGTGCGGCCCTGCCCCCGCCCAGCCCTGCCCCCTGCCCCCTGCCCCTCAGGCGTGAGCCCCTCGCTCCAGTGCCGCGTGTGCGGAGACAGCAGCAGCGGGAAGCACTACGGCATCTATGCCTGCAACGGCTGCAGTGGCTTCTTCAAGAGGAGCGTGCGGCGGAGGCTCATCTACAGGTGAGGGCGGTGGGCCCTGCTGGGCTCCTGCCCCTGAGGGGTTCTGGAGGGGTGAGGGGGCGTTCAGGGGAGGAGGGGCTTGGGCAAAAATGTCCAAAGCCATGGTTCAGGACCTGGGAGGGACACTGACCCCCGGGGTCTCGTCTTCGCCTGCAGGTGCCAGGTGGGGGCAGGGATGTGCCCTGTGGACAAGGCGCATCGCAACCAGTGCCAGGCCTGCCGGCTGAAGAAGTGCCTGCAGGCGGGCATGAACCAGGACGGTGAGGCAGGGCGCTGGTCCGGGGGGATGTGACGAGAGATGAGCAGCGGGACTGGCTGGCGTGTCGTTCTGACCCTTCCTGCCTCCCCAGCCGTGCAGAACGAGCGCCAGCCCCGAAGCACAGCCCAGGTCCGCCTGGACAGCATGGAGTCCAGCACTGAGCCCCGGCCGGAGCCCCTGGTGGCTCCCCCGACCCCGGCAGGGCCCAGCCCACGGGGCCCCACGCCCATGTCTGCAGCCAGAGCCCTGGGCCACCACTTCATGGCCAGCCTTATAACAGCTGAAACCTGTGCTAAGCTGGAGCCAGAGGACGGTAAGTGGGAGAGCGGCTGAGAGCACAGCAGGCTTGGCTACCCGGGTCACAGTGGGGCTGCAGCGCCTCACCTTGATCCTCACTTCTCCGGGCCCCAAGCACTCCCTGCCACCTCCTGAGAAGCAGATGCTAAGATCACAACCTCCTCCAACAGCTGATGAGAATATTGATGTCACCAGCAATGACCCCGAGTTCCCCTCCTCTCCATACTCCTCTTCCTCCCCCTGCGGCCTGGACAGCATCCATGAAACCTCAGCTCGCCTGCTCTTCATGGCCGTCAAGTGGGCCAAGAACCTACCTGTGTTCTCCAGCCTGCCCTTCCGGGATCAGGTACCGACCGGCCTGCCTGCTGGGGAGCTAGGCTGGGCTAGGGTCAGGCGGCCCACTCGAGTCACCCAGACAGGGCACACACATCCCCATGCCAGTATGAATGGAGGTGCACACAGCTTGGATGGTGATGGCTGGGGACACACACACCTCTGAGCCAGCAGTGGCTGGGGTGCATCTCAGGGATGGTAACAGTGGGGGTGCATGCATCTCCGGCGCAGGGATGATGGTCGGGGTGCACCCCTAGGAGATGATGGTGGCCAGGGACCCACAGGGCCCAGGGTCTTCTTAAGTTCTGGAAGACCCTCAGGCCCTGCAGACATTCTGTGGGTGACAAGTGACCTACACACCCTGAACAGCCTGAGTGGCTGACTCTAGGCCCCCTTGGAGCACAAGTGCCTGTGACTTCAGGGCTTGCATTTTAGTCCAGTCTCTCTGGCTCTGGGCCATCCCTCTCAGCTTCTAAAGGGCAAGCAGATCTTTCGGGAAAGCCAGGAGGAGAGGCACGAGGAGGGTCTGAGGCCCTCAGCCAGTCTGTGTGCTGGGGTGGAGCAGCTCAGAAGAGTCAGGCCATGCCTCTTGAATACACTCAACTTAGGACACTCATGAGGCAAGTCTCTGAGGCTGCCCAACTTCAAATGGCTCTGGGCGTTCCTAAATGTCCCAGCTGCAGCGCTGGATGGAACCCAGTGTCTCGGATGGTAGGCAGCTGAGCCAGATGGTGCCAAATCCCAGAGCTCTGGGCCCCTGGCTGATGTCAGGAGGGCATTCTTGAGTCCCAGGACAGCACTTCTATTCCTTGGGTGCCTGAGATGGTGGCAGAGCCTCCAGACTGAGCCAGAGAAGCTGTGTGTCTGCCATAACAGGCATCCCTTTCTGAGCACAGGTGATCCTGCTGGAAGAGGCGTGGAGTGAACTTTTCCTCCTCGGGGCCATCCAGTGGTCTCTGCCTCTGGACAGCTGTCCTCTGCTGGCACCGCCTGAGGCCTCTGCTGCCGGTGGTGCCCAGGGTCGGCTCACACTGGCCAGCGTGGAGACGCGTGTCCTGCGGGAAACTATCTCTCGGTTCCGGGCGTTGGCGGTGGACCCCACGGAGTTCGCCTGCATGAAGGCCCTGGTCCTCTTCAAGCCAGGTAGCTGAGTCTCTGTCTAAGCCTTGAATGGGAATTCTGGTGACTTCCCTGTGCCTCTCACTCTCCCTACACCACCCACATGTGTGCAGATGTGTGTAGGCCTCTATCCTGGGGGGTGGGAGGAAAGGGGTGAGGCTGGACTCCCTTCTCCTTGGGGCCACTCCTGGTTGACTGTGAGGGGACAGGGCAGGCTGGGAGCCCCTGGGAGACCCTGAGCCCCCACCAGAGCCCCTCGTGGCTCCCCTGGCCCTGGCAAAGCCCACCCCACAGGACCCCACGCCCATGTCTGCAGCCAGAGCCCTGGGCCACCACTTCATGGCCAGCCTTATAACAGCTGTAAACCTGTGCTAAGCTCACTGGTGCTGCTTCTCCCCAGAGACGCGGGGACTGAAGGATCCTGAGCACGTAGAGGCCTTGCAGGACCAGTCCCAAGTGATGCTGAGCCAGCACAGCAAGGCCCACCACCCCAGCCAGCCCGTGAGGTGACCTGAGCATGCGCCCACCCACTCATCTGTCCCTGCCCTCTCTACCCTTTCCCCGCCTCTCCCACACCCTCCCAGGGCTCACTGATTAGACAGCACAAGGGTCTCAGTTCAGCAGCACACAGCAAACATCTACTGTGTCCCAGGCACAGTACCAGGTCCCGGGGTGGGGACCAAGATGTACATAAGACAAAGCTACTGCCTTCCAGAGACAACCAGCAGTGACCGCACTGAAGATGCAAACTGCCCTAGTCAGGTACTGAGGGTTGCATGAATCTGCAGGAGACAGAGACCCTTTGGCATGGGAAGCGTAAAGCAGAATTGGGAGGGACTTTGGGGAAACAGGGCTGGACTTGAAAGGAAGAAGTCTAAAAGAAAACATCATTTGCAAAGGGAGAGAGGGGCAAGCATGATATGTTGTTAGGACAGGAGCCCACCTTGAAGGTATAACAGGTTCCTGCCAGTGAGAAATGGGGAGAATAAGCCGGAAAAGTACGCCAGGACCAGTCCATTCAGGACTTTGAATGCCAACCAAAGGCCACGTCTGACTTGGGAGGCAGAGAGCAGCTACTGCAGGTTTCCGAGCAGGAGTGTGTCATACACAGGGCTGGACCTCACGCAGATGGGCATGGCCATGGGTACAGAGGATACTACTGGGAAGGGGGTGGCAGCTACTGCCACCTTCCAGGTGGTTCCATGAAGTTCTGATCTTTGGGCACGGCCGGGGGAGTGGAAGGGAGACTCTAGGAGTTGGAATAGGTCAGACCCAGTGTTTGGGTGAAGGTAAGGAATGAGGGAAGAGGAGCTCTTTGGGAGAAGACGTTATTAAAACAATAAAAAGGAAAGTCAGGAGGAAAGACGGTTTTGAGGGAAGATGTTAAGGTGTTTTGGAGGTGCACTGAGCATCCTGTAGAGATGCCAAGCACATGGATGGCCCTGGCTAGGTTTGGAGGAGAGTTGCTGCAGGCTGAGTGTGGCTGGGTGAGGGTAGGGCAGGAGCCAGTGCTCTGGGACTATGCTGTTTGGCCCAGCATGGGCAGTTGTCATGGAGCCTCAGCAAGTTTGGGAACACTTGGCCTTCAGGCATCTACTGGCTATTTTAGACCATGTTATCTGCATTCTTTGGGGCTCCCAGCAGTTTCTTTCTGAAGAAGTGAGCTAATATGGGCATCCTTGCATCATCTCTAATCTAAGAAATGATTACAAGGAGAAGAGGTAATTTCCTTTTAAGAAAAGTCACAGTATACAAAGTCTGTGCCACACAGCACAGGAAGATTTGTGCTGCTTATGAGCATAGGGAGAACGCTGCTACTACTAAGACTTGACTTAGCATCTGAAGAAGAGTGGGCATCAGAGACATTCAGAAACCAGCAGCCTTTCTCTGCCAAGTTTCTGTTGGAACCAGCCCCCAGAGATGTCCTGGCATATTGGTTATGCGTCAAATTTCATAATGCTGGTTAAGATTTCCTATGCCCCTTCTATAGTGGTTCATTGCCTATTACAAGCAGAATTGAGTGTGAAGATAGTGGTTTGGGGTTCTCTAATCCAGCATATTATTTCAGTTTTTAAAAACTGCAACGCCCAGGAAGAAACACAATTACCATCGCCCCCTGATATGCACACAGACACCGAAGTGAACTCCCATGAAGTAATTCCTACCCTTACCTTGTACAATTTACCTGATATTTCTCTTTTATTTGTTTAGAAAAGGCTGATTGTGACCCACTGAATTTAATTTCAGACCCACTAAGTGGGGCAATACCTGCAGTTTGGAAAAAACATTCTCTAACTGACTTTATAGTTATGTCTTCTTCCTCCCACTCTTTAGATCAGAAAAACAGAAGCAGGGAAGGCAGATGGGAGGGGTATATGACTTGCTCAGTGCTGCTCACTTGCCACTAGCAAGAGAAAGGAAGGCCTTAGGTTGGCAGAGCAAGTCCAGCAGATCACTGAGTGGTGGGGAAGGTTTCCCGGAAACTCCCGGTGAGGGGAGCTTGGGGCTGCCCAGTGTGGAGTAGCCTCCTTGATGCTGGGCATTCACCCTGGCCATCAGACCTACCCAGGGAAGGTTTGGTTCCCCCATCTGTCTCTTGGGGCTTCACCATCTGTCTTTTGTGTTGTGGACTCCTGTCTTCGCAAATAGTTCTTTTCTTTTTTTTTTTTCTTTTGAGACGGAGTCTCACTGTGTGGCCCAGGCTGGAGTGTAGTGGCGCGATCTCGGCTCACTGCAAGCTCCGCCTCCTGGGTTCACGCCATCCTCCTGCCTCAGCCTCCTGAGTAGCTGGGACTACAGGCGCCCGCCACCACGCCCGGCTAACTTTTTGTATTTTTAGCAGAGACAGGGTTTCACTGTGTTAGCCAGGATGGTCTCGATCTCCTGACCTTGTGATCCGCTGGCCTTGGCCTCCCAAAGTGCTGGGATTACAGGCGTGAGCCACCGCGCCCGGCCTGAATGCGGCTTTTCGTCGAAATTCCTCCTGACCTGCTCTGGGGACCTCATCTCTCCTCTGCTTCCTCCCTTGCCTTTCCTGGGAGGGCACTGCTCCAAGGACTAGTGCTCAGAAGCTGGTCGTAAAACTGATGGCGTCCTCTCTCCTGTTCAGGTTTGGGAAATTGCTCCTGCTCCTCCCGTCTTTGAGGTTTATCACTGCGGAACGCATCGAGCTCCTCTTTTTCCGCAAGACCATAGGGAATACTCCAATGGAGAAGCTCCTTTGTGATATGTTCAAAAACTAGTGGGGGTGGCCAAGCACTCTGGAGAACTATCTACTGAAATGAAACATTTGCCTACTCTTTGCCCCAGAAATTCCTCGTAGGTGTGTCTACCCAGCAGAGATGCCCACTGAAAGATATTGTAAGAATATTCATAGCAGCTTTATTCATAATAGCCCCAAATTGTACATTGATGGTAGGATGAATTAACAAATTGTGGTATATTCATATAATGAAAAATAACTTAAAAAGAATGAATTATGGATACATGTGGCAACATGGGTAAACTTCACAGACATAAAAGTTGAATGAAAGAAACCAGGCAGAAGTTCCATTTACGCAGAGTTCAGGAATAGGCAAGACTAATTGACAGTAATAGAAGTTGGAATAGTGGTTACTTCTGGGTGGCAGGGGATTGATTCAGAGAGGGCCCATGGGAGCCCTCCGGTATACTAGAAATGTTGATTTTGATCTGGGCAGTTGTTTCACAAATGTATTCATAGGTAAAAATCCATTGAGCTGTGCACTTTACTGTATTTTGTTAGACCTCAATAAAAAAGTTAAAAAAAAAAATAAAACAGAAAAATGAGTGTTGTCAAGGCTCTCCCTTTGAGGACACTGAAGGAATGAGTGCAAGGTCTTTGAGTTCCCTCTGGGTTCCACTCCAAGTCAGAGACCAGGTGCAATGAATTCAAGCCCAGTGGATCTCCCATAGAATTCAACCACCCAGCTTCTCTCCAGATGGCGTCCCATCACCCGCAGCATGTCTCAACCTTTATCTCCTATCTCCCTCATCTCCTTCCTAAGTAAAGGTCAACACCCTGCAACTCAACATAAGGCAGCTACAGGTACTTTTTGTGAATGGGACTCTTCATCACTTCTTAGGTCCTTATGGAAAGATACAGCTCAGACAACCCTCATCATTTTCTTTTTCTCTTTTTTTTTTTTCTTTTTTTTTTGAGACGGAGTTTCGCTCTTGTTGCACAGGCTGGAGTGCAATGGCGCAATTTTGACTCACCACAACCTCCGCCTCCCAGGTATAAGTGATTCTCCTGCCTCAGCCTCCTGAGTAGCTGGGATTGCAGGTATGCACCACTATACCCAGCTAATTTTGTATTTTCAGTAGAGACGGGGTTTCTCCATGTTGGCCAGGCTGGTCTAGAGCTCCCGACCTCAGGTGATCCACCCACCTTGGCCTCCCAAAGTGTTGGGATTACACGTGTGAGCCACTGCGCCCTGGCCAAACTTAATCCTTTTCGAAGATAGACCCAGATGACTGTGAAAATAATATTTTAACACATTAACATAGATCAGGCAATGCATATATTAATAGCAGGCAGTGAGCTGGGCACTTTTAAAATTGCCATTTAATCCTCAGATTAACTCTGAGGGAAGGGCTAATTTTCTCCATTTATGGAGATGAAAAAACTGTTGAGAGAGGACTCAAACCTTGGTGTGACTCTACCTAATGCTGCTTAAGTCTGGCACTGCCTCTTTCCCACTCCCCCTTCACTTTTGGAATGAAAGGCTGAACAATTCTGTTGCATTTTCTGCCTTCAAAGGATAAGCGCTTGAAATCAAGACAGAAAGGGTCATGTGAGAAGTCTGAGCAATCCTAGGGGTTCCCTGTCCTTTGGCTTGTGTTTGAACTCCCTTAGCTGACAGAAATGCCCTGTCTACTCAGGAACTGAGAACAGCTAGGGCTGTTGCCAGAAAGGAAAGAGTATGGGAAATGCTACCCAGCTGAAGCGCTTCTTACTTCAGCCCCCAGACTACTTCAGATTCTCTCCAACTTTTGAAAGTATCAGAGTGGCCTCAGTTAATCCAGTCATCTAATGTCTATAATGCCATTATACAGTCCAATTCCCTATCAAAGGTTTTATCCGTATGAGCTAAGGCCTGAGCAAAGCCACCTTAGTAAGACACATGGTTGAAATATGACATGACCAGTCCTGCATATTTATCTTACAGTTTGGCTTTGGGGGACATGGTAAGACTGCAAAGGTAGCCTGCTGAAGTTCACAGGCTAGCATCTGGGATGTATGAGCACAGCACATCTACATTGGGAAGGAGATTTGAGGGCTCTCCAAGAAGTAGTCTTGGAGAATTAGAGGAAGTACATAAGCTGGATTGTCTGCTGTCAATCTGGCATCTATACCACCCCCTTCCCCACTTCTAAGGGCTTTTCTTCATTGCAGAGATGCCAGGAAAGAACTACATGTCCCAGAAACCCTTTCTCCTAGGACTTGCTAATGAAAGGCACTCACAGGACATTTTTTTCCCCCTAATGCCAAACTGATTAAATTTGGCATTAGGAAAAAGAGAAGCCATTTTTCTTTGGAGACACTGCAGCCACGTCGTGGGAAAACAGATTTCACAGCAGCTTCCTGGCTAGAATTGCACTAGCTTCCAGGCAAGCTCTTGAGAACTCTGGGACTTTTAGCTGAGATTTGTATTGGCTTTCTTGACCTGTGGGAGTATCTCTGACCTTTGTCAGATCCTAATTTCTGTACTAAGTCCATCTCACCTGGAATACAAAGTGGCGTCTGTTTTCCTAATCTGGTGCAGCTCTCAGCATGTCTTACAGACAGGAATACAAATTCCTGTCTGTAAACCACCTGGGATGACAGCCATTATTCAACTTTTTGTTGCAGATTGGCTCTACTGAAATTCTGATGAGTAATGGCTTTTTCATTGCATTTAGGGTCATTATTAGGAGAAGAGATAATTCAAAAGCTTTTTTTTTTTTTTCTTCCCTTAATGCCAATGTCTTTGGCTATGAAGCACCACAGAGGTAGTCCCTGTGGGACTATCTGGGCCTTTTCAAACGAAGCTAGTTTTTAGATTCACAAGACACTTCTCTACCCACAAGGGGATATTTCAAGGTAGGAAAGGCGGGGAAAGACTTAAAGATGCCAAGAAGTGCAACCCGATAGTCAACCCAGGTATTGCGGATGACTAGTCTCCATCTGGTGGACATCACTGGTGTTCCCCACTAGAATGCAGGCTCTACAGGGCAGAGATCTTTGTTCACTAATGTACCCTAAGCACCTAGGACAATGCCTGTGGGCGATACACTCCTTGACTGTGAGTCTGACATACCTACAAAATTCAACAGTCAGATATTACATGCACCTTATCTACTTTCACAGTTCTATCTCTGGCTCTAAGACATCGTACTGCCACCGATTCTAGGGGCAAAAGCAATTTTAAAAAACAAACCAAAGCTCTGGTCACTGTATAACTTGCCTCTCCTTATGTACCTTTCTGTTCTCAGGTCTTTGTCATCACAATAGTTGTTGACTCCGTAATCTCAGGGGCAAGTTTTAAGAATGGTATTTCGCCTGGGCGTGGTGGCTCACACCTGCAGTCCCAGCACTTTGGGAGGCCAAGGCAGGCAGATCACCTGAGGTCGGGAGTCCGAGACTAGCCTGGCCAACATGGTGAAACCCCGTCTCTACTAAAAATACAAAAATTAGCCAGGCATGGTGGCAGGCACCTGTAGTCACAGCTACTTGGGAGGCTGAGGCAGGAGAATCACTTGAACCTGGGAGGTGGGAGTTGCGGTGAGCCGAGATGGTGCCACTGCATTCCAGCCTGGGTGACAGAGTGAGACTCCATCTCAAAAAAATAAAAATAAATAAAAATGGTATTTGCAGGTTTTATTATGGGCAACTAAGGGAATTTTAAACAACACTCACTATTCATATTTCAATGTAAATTTAATGCAAAAATGTAAATGTAAATTTAATGTAAAAACAAGTGAGAAGGATGACCCCAGAATTTTAAAAATTGAATACATTTGGCATTAGGGAAAAAAAATCACTACATGTTTTTTTCACCATGTAACCTTAGAACTGATTTGGCATTTTGGAACCACTGATGCTAATCAATCCTCTCATCCAATATCTGCCCAGCACCTTTTGTTAGGTGCTGGGATCTAAGAGTCAGCAAGACAGGCAAGTGTTTGACACCATGAATACTGACAGCTGTTGAGAACACAGACCTCTAACCCAATTCACGGGGTCAGAGCAAACTTCCCAGGACAACTGCCTTTTACATTAAAACCTGTGGGTCAGTAGGAGTTCTCCAAATATGGGAGTTTGGGAAACAGAACTGACCTCCAGATAAGAAAACTAACATTCAGAGAGAGCAAATGCCCTTCCCAGTCATGCAGTAAAAGTTGGTGGCAGAACAAAAATGACAAACTGAGTTAAAATTTCTGTTTCTATTGCAATGTGTTGCTTTGCTTTTCAGTGAGAATCCTTGAGCCCTGTATTAGCAACTTTGCTACTTCTTCAAGTGGCCAGTTTAGGGGAGGATCCTAAATGCAGATTTACTGCTTTTCCTGCCCTTCTAGCCTTAAACCAATTAAACGAAGTCTTGACAGCCAGCAGCCTGCATCCACTACAGAAAAAACACCTTGAATCACACCTTTACTTGAATTCAGTTGAGTTCCAGTGACTACCACCTCTGTGTTTTGTCAACTGTGGGTTGAGTCCTTTCCTGAAAACACATCAGTGTAACTAAGAAGTCACTGCTGTTTCTTGGAGTTGGGTTGGAATAGTTGGAGTGGGAGCCAGGATGGTTGGAAAACAAACCACACATATTGCTGCTTCTGGAAGCTTTGTTCTTTAATGAGCCATAGGGTGATTTGTTCATCAAGCTGCTTTTGTGTAGCCATACAGTGCATATTTTGAGTGACACAAACTGCACTTTATACAGATGATGTCTTGTTACCCCTCAACCCCCCGCAAAGAAAAAAAACAGAAAGGAAATTACAAAGTGCCTGTTGATTGCATCCGGAATGTAATCAGTTCGTGGGTGAGACAAATCATTCTTCTTATAGAATTATTCTATTAAACAGTAAAATGTTATATTTCACAGGATATGTCCTTTTATAATACAGTTCTTTAAAAATTTACACTCAGCATACTTATAAATTACTTAAAATCCATTAAATATAATACTAATCTGTAGTCCACACCTTTCCCATAGTAAATACAAATACTTGTGGTTCAAAAGGTGCAACTTTTATATGACCTCAGAGGGCTGATAAATAGGCATTAAGAATGGATGACTAGCAAGGTGACAGGCTCATTGTGGGGGCTTTTTTGAAAAAAGTTTCAACCAGGGGACCAATATGAGACCTAACAGATCCATCTCCACAATCATCATTTTGCTGTTACCCTTTCAATACCCAATTAAATGTGGGAGTCATTCCAGAGAAAAGTGTTTGTTAAAAGTAGTCTAGGGCACAGAAAAAGAGGACTCCCACAGATACCACGGAGTTTTACTACCAAGTCCAGCATGGTATTGGGGGACAGTGCTGGGGAGCTGTCACAAGAGTATGGGTGGACGTAACACATTTGTCCATACAGAATGATGCATGTCCCGCATCCAGCTTCCCACCAAGAAGAAAAAAGAGAGGAGGATGAGGAAAGCCATAGAGTATGTTTCTTTTTAAAATGAAAACTCTCTTAGCTTTGAACACATCCTGAGAATCCTTTCTTCTTTCTAGTTTACCAAAGTGCTTGTTACAGTTAAAAACACAGACCACAGGCACTGAGGTGGGACTATAGAACCCTGCTGGACCACATCTTTTCAGCACACTTCTGACCCTCTGTTTTTGTGACCCTCTGTTTTTGATGGTGAAAACAACTCTACCGTTATGAAACACAGAACGGAGTCTGCATTAATATTCCAGCAGGATAAGTGCTCTGGCAGGTTTCCAAAGAGAAGATGGGGGCTCTAGTATTCCATCCCAGGACCTCTGGCCCTTTTGTCTCTCTCTGCAAGGCTCATAGTTGGAGGGCTGTATCTCCCTTTGTGTTTTCAGAAGCCCAGAGTGGCAAAATAATTTAAATGGCAGGAGGTACAAAATACGTTGTAAACTAAGCCTCCCTGAATCCTGCTGGATTTGCTGTTAATTTGCTTCAATTTGTGATACAAAATGAAATCACACTTCTCTGCTTTTGTTGCATTTTCCATAATAAATACATACTAAATTACAGGGATACATTCACTTTAATGGGCAGAGTTGAAAATTCAGGTTTTGTTTGGGGCTGGGAATGTGTGCTAGAAGTAGAGTGCTCTGCATTTTGGAGTATGGGCTCCAAATGTGGAGCTGCCCCACTGCTGCCATGCAGATCAAAGCAAACAAGCAAAGGAGAAGCACTACAGAACCACAAGTGTGATGCATACGAAGGGCTAAGTTTCATAAGTGACTGTAACGCGGCATCACTTTGTGGTGACATAACTTTACCATGCAGAGGGCCAGTGAGAACAGATGGATGCAGACACAGCATTTGGTTCTGAAGGTTTTTAGGAGTTATGGCTTCATCTCTTGATCAGGCCAACAAGGCCTATTACCCTATGTAAACAACGGCTTTCCCTCAAAGGGAGGGCCCCACACTGCTCTCCACTCTTACAATTTGGTGGATCTCTCCTCCTCACCCACCCACCCCAATCCTGGCAGACTAAATGACTAGAAATCCACATAAATCTAGCAACTGAAAAAAACAAGTTTTTTCTTTCTTTTTTTTTTAATTGAATTTTACCCAAATTGGAGTTTCAGGTCCCTGAGAAAAATTATAAAGTCTCTTAACATCCATCAGCTAGTTCCTATAAAGTGACCTACATCAGTCATTTTTTAACTGCCAAAAAACTTATTTTACCAAAAAAATCCCACAAAGATTTAGAAGGAAGAACATGTGCCAACATGTCTTCTCCTGGCCATTCCTCTGGGCCACAGGAAATTATCTGATAAGGGCAATCTTTTTTTTTTTTTAAATACAGGATTTAACCAACATTCTGGAGTAAGTGCAGAGTAACAATTAATGCCCAGCAGCACACTACTCCCCCAAGAACACTGAAACACAGACTGTGCAACCTGGCATGGGGCTAAGGAACCAGCAATCCCACTATGACACACCATGCTGAGGGGTTTTCCTCTGTCCTCTAGGAGATTCTCTGAAATTCAGATTTTTAAAAGCTTAACATTTATTACTCCTCAGGACAAGACAAACAAGGTGGCAGATGTCTGTGGGATATAAAGCATAACATTTGCTCATTAACCATCATTATTCTGGAGATTTTAAAAGCTTCCTTTCTCTGGCTCAATTCTGAACCCAAAGCAGGGAGAGGTAAAACTCCTGCTACCTTTAGCTGCCACTCAGAATTATGCTCCAAGTCTAACCTCTGGGGCTGGCCAATAACCACTGAGGCAGTGGCATGAGGTTCAGTGTTGTGTAACAGGAGAGACTCTGCCTTAACAAAAGACTTAATATTTCCACAACTTCAAAGAAGTATGAAAAGGAAGAATAACCAAAATACAGGTTATAGATGGTAAAGGCTCTTTTTCAGAGCAGTGCATGTAGTAGCAAGACAAGATGCATTTAGTAACTTTAAAAATAAACATTTCACATACTTATCTCGAGAAAGGCTATCATGTTTCATTTTTCATATATTATAAATAGCAAAAACAGATTTCTATTCCCACAAATGCTAAGATACTTAAAATGTTATTATAACTCATGTGTATGAAGACCACCCAGTGGTGAAAATGATGTCTTACTATTCCCTCAACCCAGGGATGAATGGCTCTCATCCCCTTGTCCAGTGGCCCCTAATCTGTGGGAAGAAATTCCATGGGAAGGAGGGAAGCACAAGGTTAAAAAGAAATATGCCTACTATACATACATATTTACAATAAACTTCAGTAACCAGAATATTAACAAAAATAGCTTCAAGTAGTCCTTGATTTTTTTCCATCTATTTAATACTGATGGTCTGAGAAAAGGAAGATAAAAGTTAGATAGGACATATTAAAAACCTTTTTATTTTTTGGCAGCTTTCTGTAACACTTATTCATGCAATATTGTATGTGAATGTTTTTGGAGAACTAACTAAACGGTCACATTATTTGAGTCTGTGGTGGGAATCCACCAGCAGATGAACAGGCTCATATGTGGTTTTCGGTTTAATCTATACAAAGAGAAAAGCCTGAATGGCTTAGGATGGAATCTTCATAAGTTTAGGGATTACCATGTCTCTGGGAAACTAAAAATGAAAGTATAAGAATCTGATCCTAGGACCAGGAAATATGAGAACAGTATGGCTACTGACACTTCAGCCCATGCAATGTATTTGGCAGGAACTAAACAGGAGTCAAACCAGCACTGATTATTATGACATCAAACATCATCAAAAACAAAATAGGTATTCTCTTCTTCACCATATAACAAGATATCTGAGACACGCTCTGATGGCTTAATGGAAACAATCACTTTTTTTGCTTTCCCCAGAATATAACATGGAGTGTTTTTTCAGAAATCTTAAAATAGAGGGATTACGCTTTTTGTTTATAAGTTTTTGGAAAAAAATTATATTCTACCCCAGCTCCTAACTATCCCAAAATAAACCCAAAGGCTTTTGCTTTCATAGTTAAGAAAGACTTATACGTTTTCTTCAAATGTCAGAAATGAGAGGGTCCCTCAGGTCAGCAATATCCCCCCTAGTTCAACACCCACCTTTGGGAAGGGAAAAGAGGGTGGGGGAGAGGCAACTATAACTGACCCAAATCCCCAGGCCCTAGGTGGCTTTGTTTAGTAAAATCTCAATTCAAATACAGCAGCCAAGGCACAGCTGGCACCATTCCCAGCAGGCTTTCTGCTTCTGCAGGAGGCCCAGGAATTCAGCACATACAGTCTTAGCCATATGCTTAGAAAAGAGGCAGGACCACAATTAGGATGGACTATTGTGGACGAGGTGATGAAACGCAGCCCCAAAGGTGAGATGTGTTTACCACTCTGTAGCCACGGAGGGACACACATCTGCCGGTTCAGACCATAAATTCATTATTTCCAAAGAGTGCTAGCTGTTGGTTGGAGGTGCAGTCTGGGTCCACAGTTTTTCTGCGGCCAGACATGACTGTTCCCTCTGGGGTCTCTTTGGTTTTCTGAGGTGAGTTTTTCACATTCTTTAATTTTTGTTTGCCCTTTTCTGGGTTGAAGGTTCCTCTGCTGATGAACTGAGGCCTGTCTTCCAGGGATTTGGTCTGGCCCAATGGTCCTTCCATTCCCAGGGCCTCATTAGCTGAGGCAGCTCGGTAGAATGGAGATTTGGAATAAATCTGAAATAGTTTTCTGGTCCCATGAGACGATGCCGTGTTAGACAGACATAAAGAGGAGACTGAAGAGTCCACTACATCTAAAGAGTCTTGCTGCTTTTTAAGCTGCTTTCGCAACTTGCTGGAAGGTTCAGACTTGCCAGCTGTCTTCAGGGAGCTAAGGGCTAAGCTTCTCTCTGAGGCAAAAAAGAGACCAAAGATGTAAATGACAGTGCCCTCTAAAGCAAATCATCATGTAATGAATAGGTGTCACTGTTCATACATGAAATTGGGTGGGATAAGATTTGGAGGTTCCAGGCTGACTTACTATGGGCACAGTCATAGTCAAAGAGAGCTCACCATCCATTTCTCTATATAGCAGTTCAGAATCATCCTCAAGGAAATCTGGTGTTTGACTATGCCACCAGTGGAGGCCTAGAACAGTCACTATCATATTAAAAACTGCCGGGATATGTAGATAAGTTCTACATCTCCCTGAGACATGCCACCCAGTTAAACACCTCCTTTGTATATGTATATAGTCCCACCTCACAGTGGGACACAATTCCTGCCACGCTCAAAAAATGGGTCATGGGTCAGTAAGACAACATATATTGTGATTATTGGCTTTTCTCTGTGGTAAGTACAGGATAAAACATTAAATTACCAAACAAAACAAAACAAAACAAAACAAACAAACAAAACTCAATCACACTGAAGAGTTGGTTTGATAAACAATGTATATGGAAGCTTTACAAAGACAACAGGAAAAAAAAGACCTTCCATGGAAGTCAGGAATCTAAGTAGCAAAGACAATTACATTTCTTATCCCCATCCAGATAGTGATAAGGACCTGTATGCCAAACGATGAAGGCTAAAACTATATGGATAAAAGGACAAAATTCCTCAGGACTTTGTTACTGCTGATGTATGGTCAGTGCATTCTTGAAAGACTTTGTCTTAGTTTCCGAATCTTTATTCCTCCTTTGCAAAACAAATCTGGCGTCTTTGGTCTACCATGTTCACTTACCTGACTTCTCAGAGATAGCACATTCAGACTCCATATTCAAATTTTCTGAGCTATCAGCAGTCCCAATGGAGGCCTCAGACTCAAGAGTTTCATCATCAGAGGCACGGGGTTCCAGTACAAGCATCTCAAATGTCAGCTCCTCCCTGTAAGATACAATCAAGAAACCATTAGCATATTTGATAGGAAGTGGAAGGAAGATAACAGAAAAAAAGATCCTCCATGAAAGTCAGGAATCTAAGAAGCAAAGAGAGTCCATTTTTACTGTCCCCATCCAGGTGGTGATGCCAAATATGGTGAACGCTAAAACTATATGGACTAAAGGACAAAATCATAGTCAATCTAGGACCAATAATAGGGGTAAGAGTAGGGTGAAGATGCTGTCGTGGTGAGATCTTTCAGTAAAATGAACTCTGGACTGATAATCAGGAGATCAGGGCTCTAACCTTGTTCATAATATCCATAATGCATCAGGAAAGTACCTTTCTCTCTCTGGACCTCAGCTTCCTACCACAAAACAAAGAGATTAAATTAGATAACCTCTAAGATTCCTTCCAGCTCCTAAACTATTTTCCATGAAGCTTACTAACTGGCTGTGGACTATATCCTCTACCTTCACCACAGAGACCTCTAGATGAAGAAAAACACTGATTGATCTTTTCTGTCCTTTGAAGCTTATGCCATCTTTAGTTATCGCATTCTCTAGTCTTCCTTCTTCATCACAGTCACCCAGCTACCTCTCAGTAATGCCCCACATTCCGTGATGTCTTTGGTACTCAGCTCCTAACCTTGCTTTCTCACTAATGCTTGACATCACCTGATCTATTCAATTAATATCTTTGTAAAAATTCATCTCAATATCCTAACACTGAAGTTCTTTTATGTCTGCAACTTCTAACAATATTTTCCTCCACTTTTGCTAAGCTACTTTCTCCAATGGGCAGATGCTGGAGCTTGTCATTACCTGAATACACCAACTGTGAATCCAATATTCTGCCCTGTTCACAACTTCCTTATCCTTCCAATTCTTACTCACCTTCTAATCAAGTCTCTTCCCTAACAGAGCCCTTTACCTTTACTTCCACTTTACCTAGCTTGAGATCCATGAACAATCATTTCAAGAATAGTATCACCAGTATTACAATTGTCTGAGGTCATGTGCATTCTGAGACTGTGCTCGTTCTTCTTTCTTTTTCTAGGGACTCTCCCCTTACTTGAAAATTCCTATGAATCCTTCAAGACCGCTAACATCATCTGCATCAAAGCCAAATTGGGTCTTCTTTTCAGATCACTCTTCTAGCAAATAGCCCCTGGTCAATGTACATCATCTTTGCCTTATCATGTTTTTTACAGCTGAGCCCCAGCTGCTTTTTTAGCTGGCCTATATATATTCCAGAATCAATCATGAGAGACCAAAAAAGTACTTTAACAGTCTCATATCCCCTTATAAGTCAAACTCAAGACCTGTGATCCTGGAACTCAGGAATAAAGATCCCATTAAGACTTTCTAAGAGTCATCAATGTCGACTAGAACTATTACACAGCACCCTTAGGGAGAACCATGGCATGTTCATATTATCCCCAAGGCATAATGTCACCCAATCCCTGCAACAGTGATGAATGGAGGTAAAAGAGCTTCTTATTTGTCTCTCTCCTAAATTGCAACCAATTTCCCTATCCAGTATCCTAGCACTCTCTAGGGCTATAGCATTACTATGACCATCTAGTTGCTGTTCCCATGGCCATATGGATCTTTGGCTAATAACCTTCCTTCATGGATTTGTGAATGATGCCCATTCTTGAAAGGGACTTTGGCTTAGCCTAAGAATTATTACTCTTCTTTGCAAAATAAATCTGTTCGTGAAGGCTGGTCTCTGACCTGTTAGGACTCCAGTGCCTCATCTTGGCTCCCCACTGTTACTGCTAGATGAATCGTGACTAAGACTGACATGCCCTGTGGATACTGTGTCCTCCTCCCAGTCAGCCTCTCCAGACCATCACTGTAGCAGCCTCAGGTTTTCCAGCTCATGGAACTGGCTTCCCAGAGGGAACAACTTTCACACTGTTACCTGAGTACAGGCAACATGTCTTTGTCATTTCAACATCTCCTGTATCACCTGACATAGAGTTTAACACACAGGAGATAATAAATAAGAAAAAATAAAGAAACGATAGAAGGAAGGAAATGAAAACAGACAATGACTGTCTCTCCCCTTCCTCCTGGATACGCACTTCTCCTTCTGTAGGTTCTCAATCTGCTCAGTCAGTACTCTCTCCTCCTGCTGCATAGCTGCTTGCTGCTGTTCTGTGATGTCAGTCTCCATGGCTGCCTCACTAGTCAAGGTCTCCTCTGAGACATCAGATACAGAAGGCAACCGAACTACAACAGGAGACGATGGACCTGGATAGTTTCCTCGACGAATACGCCCCTTTCCCTGCAGAGAAAAATCCACATTAGAAAGTAAATTGAGTGACTGCATCAGTTTCATGCAGATCTTTTAGGATAACAAGTGTACTCCCATCACACCAGGTGAACGGTAAGAACAAATGGAAACATTCTGCAAGGCCTAGGATATTTAGTCAGACATCATTCATCCAATACATTTAAGTTAAAATATTTCTTGCAAGAGTGCTGGAAAATGGATACTTCGGTAGGTGGGAGTGTAAGAAACCATTGTGTACTGAGATGAGATTCTTCTTTTAATATAAGCTGCATCCATTCCAAACAAAATAGCCACATCTGGATATTTTTTTAATTAATTAAAATTGAAGTAACATTTCAGTTCTGCAGTCACACTAGGCACATTTCAAGTGCTCAATAGCCACAAGTAGCTCGTGACCCCTACACTGACTGGTACACATATACATTTCCTATCATCATAGTAAGTTCTGATGGATAACAGTGCTCTATAACTTTAGCCTTGGAATGTACAGTCTCTCTAGGAAGACCATAGAAGTATGTTCTAAAACTCAGTTTTGAAAAACAAAAACAAAATGTAGTCATTTATATAACACAGGGTGCTAGCGAGATATATTTTCTTAGAAACTTCTATTCTTGAGATTAGAGTGTGAAAATCTCATTGCTGCTTCTCCCTTTTTTTTTTTTTCTTTTTCAAACATTGGTTACTTTATATGTGACTTTAGCTTCTGGTAGTGGCAAACTAAACTTTCCAAGTTAATCTCCTGCTAAGAAACATAAAAACTCAACATATGCTTGAAGGCATTGAAGAGCTAACCAGATAGATTTAAGGAGAGGCTAGTCCAGCATTTAGCGCTAATCTAAATGTCAGAGGTGGCTGTGACTCTAAACAGAGCTTTTGACGTGCTACAGCAGAGGATGGCAAACTATGGCCTGTGTGGCAAATCTAGCCTTGCACATATTTTGTAAATACAGCTTCATTGGAATACGTTCATCCTCATTAATTTACTTATTGTTTATTGCTGCTTTTTCAAAACAATGGCAGAGTTGATTGCTGAGACGGAGACTGGCCTACAAAGCCTAAAATATATTCTCTAGTCCTTTACAGAAAAAGTCTGCCATCATCTTGGGGTAGAGAATAAAAGTTGGAGCCAGACCCACTCAACGGTGTGAGCTGCTGCCTGGCAAAACCTCCGTGCCTGACACTGGGATCCCTAAGGTTTGTTTCTTAGACTAAGAGTAAACTGAAATTACAAAAGTCCTCGCAGATACTGTAGTCTAGCTTCGAGTCATCTGGATGGTCCAGAAAATTCTAATCCCTAAAAATGAATTAAAGTAATCTCAGATTGCTAATACTTTAGGACCAGGCAGAAAAAAATGAAAACATTCTGTGGAGGAAAGTAACATTATCCTAGGCCTCAAAATATTTTAAAAATAATGTTTCAAATACTCTGACAAATAATCAAAGGTAACAGGCACAAAAGGAGACAAGACAACGTAAACAAAAACTAGTAAAAATGACAGAAAACAGAAACCCTAAAAGACTCCAGATATGGTGGCTATGGGATTTAAAATAACCATGCTGAAGGAGATAGGAAGACATAGTTGAAGTAGTGGACTGGAAATTAGGTCAAAAGAAAAATCCTGAACCAAGCAGGAAGAAACGAAAGAATGGAAAAATTCACAAAAGAAAGTAAAAGAATGGCTGGGCGCAGTGGCTCACACCTGTAATCCCAGCACTTTGGGAGGCTGAGGCGGGCAGATCACCTGAGGTCAGGAGTTCAAGACCAGCCTAGCCAATGTGAAGAAACCCCATTTCCACTGAAAATACAAAAATTAGCTCGGCATGGTGGCATGCGCCTGTAGTCCCAGTACTCAGGATGCTGAGTTAAGGGAATTGCTTAAACTCGAGAGACAGAGGTTGCAGTGAGCCAAGTTTACGTCACTGCACTCCAGCCTGGGCAAATATCAGGACAAGAGAGATCCTACAGAAGAAATATTGAAGAGATCATGGCAGAGCATTTTTAAAAAGCAGTTAAAGATATTAACCTAGGAATTTAAGAAAGCCTACAACCCCTAAGAAAGAGAAATGAAAAGAAGTCTATACCTAGACAAACTACTGTTAAAAACTAAAGGCCTAAGGTCAAAGAAAGACTTAAAAGCAGTTACAAAAAGCAAATTACTTGCAAAAAAGGAACAACTATTAGATTCAAAGTCTGTTTCTCAACAGAAATAATGGAATGCAGAAAACAATGGAATATTTTCATGGTATGAAAGGAAAAAGGAACTGCCAAGCTTAACTGTTATATATAGAAAATAATTTTCAGGAATGAAGGTGAAATAAAGACATTTCAGACAGACTATGGGGAGAATCTGACACCAGCAGACCTGCACTAAAGGAAATATTGAAGGGAAGATTGAAAATGTCTCACGAAGAAAAGTTAGAGGTGTGAGAAATAATGAAAGGCAATGAAAAGTGAGTATGTCTAAACAGTGACTGCATAAAACACAATAACGATGTGTTGGATTTAAAACATACAGATAATTAAGATACACAACAATAAGAGCAACAAAATCATATCATAGTAAGGCATACTAAAGCACCTGTATTATCTAGGAAAAAGATAAAACTACTAGTTAACAGACACTGATAGATCACAGATCTGTTTTCACCATTTGGTTAATACTAAAATAATAGTAAAAGTGTAAAACTTCCAAACAAAAAAAAAATGGAATAAAAAAGTAGTCAAAAAATGCAAGAAAGAGCAAAAAAGGCAAGGAAGAAAAGAAAAAGGAACATATATCAGGTAGGACAAATAAAAAGCACATAAAAAGCAGATTTTAAACCCAAATATATTGGTGATTATATTAAATGTAAATAGATGAAATGCTCCTATTAAAATTTGAAGATTGTCAGGCCGTATAAAAAAAGAGAAAACCTAACTATGTGATGTTTATAAAAGACATGTGAATTCAGAAAGGCTGAGAGTAAAGAAATGGGAAAAAAAAAAGACATACCATGCAAATACTAACCAAAATAAAGCTAGTACAGCTATGTTAACCACAAACAAAGTAAACTTTACGAAGTGTTACCTGTGATAAAGAGGGATACCTCACAATGACAAAGGTTCATATTATGAAGATAAAACATTTCCAAATATGTATGTACTTAAGAAATTGCTTCAAAAAAATTTAAAGTAAAATATTGACAGAAATACTTAAAGAAAAATAGACTATAATCAGTACTGACAGAACAAGTGTGCACATGCAATCAGAAATGATGTAAAACTGAACTTGATGTAAGCAATCTAACAGACATATATAGACTTCAGTATCTAACTACAGAATACTCACTTTAAAGCACACATAGCAAAACAACAAAATTCCAAGGGTTGAAATAATTTATCTGACCATTAAAGTAATTTAAAACAAGTTTTCTAATAATGCAGTTACAAAGAGAAAATTAAAAATTCTTGTACACTCAGAAATTAAGAAATAGACTTTAAAACAAACCATGGTCAAAGAGGAAATCACAATGGAAATTAGAAAATATTTTGAATGAAACAATATAAAAACCCATGTAAGCTCTGTCTACTTTAAAGTTATAGCCTTAAATACATACATTAGAAAAGAAGGAAAGATTCATAATTAAGGATGTAAGAATCTATTTCAGGAAACTAGATAAAGAACAACATAATAAATTCCTCCTGCAACAAAAGCAATAAAGAAAAGTGCAAACAAACATTAGAATGAAGACAATCAAAGTCAAATGTAGCTCTTTGAAGAGGCAAATAAAAATTTTAAAACTCTAGCAAGACTGAAAGAGAGAAGTCACAAATAACCAAAGGTGGGAATGAAAAACGGGACGTCACTACAAATCTTGTAGACCCAGAGGGTAAGAGACTACTAAAAGCAACTTCATGTCAATAAGTATAAAATTTTAGACAAAGTGGAGAAATTTCTACAAAAATCTAATTAATACCATCAATGAAGAAATTAGAAATGTGAATAATATTAAAGAAATTGAATCCAGAATCAAAATCTTTCCAAAAACAAAAACTCTAGGCCTAGATTTCAGTGGCAGACAAGAAGAAATAACAAATTCTTCCACAGAATTAAAAATTATTCCTTAACTTGTCTTTAGAGTCAGGCGTAACTTTGATAACAAAACAAAACAAATACATTAAAAAGAAGGATTACTGCCAGGTGCAGTAGCACATGCTCACAATCCCAGAACTTTGGGAGGCTGAGGCAGGTGGATCGCTTGAGCTCAGGAGTTCAAGACCAGCCTTGGCAACATGGCAAAACCCCTTCTCTACAAAAAAATACAAAAATTAGCCAGGCGTGGTGGCACGTGCCTGTAGCCTCAGCTACATGGAAGACTGAGGCAGGAGCCCAGGAGGTTGAGGCTGCAGTGAGCCAAGATCATGCCAGTGCACTGTAGCCTGGGTGATAACAGTGAGAGCCTGTCTCAAAACAAACAAACAAAAACAAAAACAAAAAAGGATTATTATGGCTTAACTTTACTCATAAACACATGCAAAAATCCTAAACAATATCCTAACTATAAAAGAATCAAGTAATATAGAAAATGTAATATAAAAATATTAAATATATGAAAAGTTGTATTTATTGTAGTAGTATAATGATGGTTTAACATTAGAAATGGACTCTGTGTAATGTGTCAAATCAATGCAATAAAAAAGTCTGATAAAACCTCAATACATGCAGTAAAGGCATTTCATAAAATTCAACATTCTATCACAATAACAACTCTTAGAAAACCTGGAATAGAAGGGCACATACTTAATCTCATAAAGTACCTACAAAAATTCTATAGCAAACATCACACTTGGTGGTAAAAGGTTGAAAGCTTTTCCTTTAGGGCTGGGAGCATGCCAGTAATGATCACTATTACCACTTCCATTCAACACTATACTGCAGGTTCTAACACAAGAAAAAGAAAGAAAAGGTATAAGGATTATAAAAGAGCAAATGAAACTATCATTATTCATG